GACGTGTGCTCTTCCGATCTGACAACTGCGATTTCTATCCGTTTCTGTCTGCAAATGCGTATACGCATCCTGTCCATTTCTGTCAGCAAATACGTACACGCTTCCTGTCCGTTTCTGTCTGCAAATGCGTATACGCATCCTGTCCATTTCTGTCAGCAAATGCGTATACGTAACCTGTCCGTTTCTGTCAGCAAATGCGTATACGCAACCTGTCCGTTTCTGTCTGCAAATGCGTATACGCATCTTGTACGTTTCTGTCTGCAAATGCGTGTACTGTCCATTTCTTATTGCTGATGCGCAAACGGGCCTGAACACAATCTATCTGCATTTATCTGTAATTGCAGATTAAGAAACGCATAGTAAAGCAGACAGAAACGGATAGGATGCATTTTCTATCCGTTTCTGTCCGTAATTTTCACCAGGTACACCAATTACAAACCGTTTTATTCTGACAGTATATAAGACGCATACATAGATATCAATCTGCTTCTGGGGGTTTATCGTGTAATTTCTCACAACAGTAAAAGCACCTATTAATTATTACACTGATCTAAAAAATATATAAATATGTATAGAGCATGAGCCGAAAATTGTATCCGAAGTAAAATTATATAGCGCGTCATGTTCCCAAACAGCACACAATATTCATAGAACATTCATAGGATGTTTTAAGGACATATAATTGGTTATTAAGGACATTATAATATTATATACATTCTGCAGCGATACAATACTTTTTTAATAACAGGAAATTGTATATACTAAATGTCTTTATTTATATACTATTAAATTAATATAATTTAACATATAAATGTATAACAATTAAATACTATTTCATAGAGTAAAAAGTAACAGAAGGGAATGTTTAGTGCTGGACGCTCAAGATGATTGCCATCATGACGTAGATCCATCCGCGGATAAGTGATATTTATACTCCCACTACCCCGATATATTCCTTCCTGTTTGTTATTTTTACTCTTTACATAATAGAACATATATGATGTTTGTTTTCTGCTAGTTTCGTCTAATTGATTCATGCATCATCTGAAACATTGTAAAACGAAACAAATGTGACAATTTACGTCATGAAACTTATATTAGATTAAATTTTTGCAGCTTCAAATAGACAGTGCAAAATAGCATTTCATACTTTCGCTATTTAAAATATGATTATTTAACAATTGCCATATACAATGTAACTTTACCAGTTTCTTGTGCAAGTATCGCTTCTTTTTCGGCGCTGATGTTGGCTTCATCGGGAAAGTGATTTTCTTTGTTGGCGTCTTCTAAAATACAATTAATCAAGAATTTGAACATTTATAACAAACTTAAAGTCCACACGAGGTTAATATATCTTTAACCTCTATATATAATAAATGTGATAAAATTAGCACGGATATATTTATTATAATTATATTATTATAATATACAGAAAAAATTTGATGCATTTTTTTGTATATACAAAATATATTGTTATTCAAATAGGTTCTATGTATAATAACATTTTACCATTTTTATTGCCTGAAGCGTCGTTCCACTCCAAGTCACTCAAGTCACTGGATGTAATCACTAAAAACATGATTATAATTACTTATAACAAATTGAAAGCACAGGAAAATACAATCTAGAGTTTTTTTAGATAATAAATATAATTGAAACATAGATATAATATAGTAAGTATAGACTGAATATCTCGCTTCTGCGAGAGTCGTAAAATTACAATGAGAAAGAAATTGAGGAAAATTATCTGCCTTTGTCGAATGGTCGCAGATGTACCCAAGACATATATAAAATTTTGTCGAAGTTACCGTAGTAGGTTTGTCATTTGTTAGACAGTGACCAAAAGACATGTCACATCTACTGATCGCGCAGTTTTCTCTTTCTACCTTTGATACGAACAGTGTCTAAATTAACCTGTCCCTGCAGACGTCTCATGTATTCGGCGAACATTTGTCCCACTCACACTAAAATAACATCTACTTCATCTTTGCCTCAACCGTGTCCAAATAATATTAAATCCTTGACGGATTTTCATGGCTTTCCCGGTCTAGTGAAATAATGACTCATTCATTATTATTTATCGTTACTATATTTATTCACTATTTCATTGGACCGGGAAAGCCACGAAACATCCGTCAAGGATATAAAATCATATTGAAATATATTAAAATTGTTTTTTATGTATTTTAATACATGTGACGAATAATTGTACAGTACACGAATTACCTGGGACAGGCTTTAAATACACACTGATAATATATATACAAATGCTAATTTAAAGGAGGACACCATTTTAGATTACGTCGAAACGATTACCGAAAACACGTCTTTTTCGGTATTTATTGTGGCACGGTAGCAATTTTAATTAATACAACTTATTAATTAAAATTGCTACTGTCTTTAACTGTCGATTGCTTATTAATTACACATATAAATTGAACTGTATTTTTACATTTTATGGCAAAATATTAATCATTTTTAGTTATGCGCAATTTGATACATCACCGTGTATGCCTTAATTGTATAATGAGTTTCTCCAATTCCAATAATCAGATATAAAAAAGTAGAAAGTTTAAGTAAATTGTCTAATGAGTTCCTTTAATTTCAATAATCAGATATAAAAAAATAGAAAGTTTAGATAAATCAACATATAAGCACGTCCTATTGTCGTTTATCGTACGGATTTGTAAAAACAATATATCAATTGTAGGCAAAATGGCATGGCGCGAAAAAATTATTCGAAATTTCGCCTACAAAAGTTACTTTTGAAAGTTTTTCTTGGCAAGTATTTCAGTAAAAAAAAATTCATACGATGAACGATAGTCCATTTTTGTTATGAAAATATAATATAAATGTCAAGTGGGATGAATATTTACTGACAATTTCTTTGGACGTAAAAGTACACTAAATGGTGCATAATTTTTAAAATTTTAATATTTTTAAATATTTTCAAAAAATATAGTTCAGTATATATGATATCAAAGTATTAATAAGCGGTATTCATTAATATGACTACCTCGCCACACAAAATCCCGCCTTTTTGCGCTTTCCAAGAGAGGTCCCCCTCCTTAAGTGCAACGTGCATTCTGACTATACTTATATCCATGGATTTCAATGATTACGGACAAATTCAATGATATAATTCATGTTCTATATCATTACAGTATATCAAAAACGTTATAATTGTCTTGCGTATGTAAAATATATTATTTATTCTATAAACTTCTATGTATAATAAAATTTTACCGTCTTCATTGCGATCAGCTGTCTTCATGCGGCTGTCTTCATTCGGCTCCGAATCACTGTTTATCGCTAAAAAAACATGATTAATTACTTATCGGAATTTATTACGAATCGAAAAAACACGCAAATACCATATATGTATATATATATATATATATATATATATAGATATAAACTTGTATTGTCTCTTATAGTATAGTATAGTCTCTTATATATATATATATATATATATATAAAATTTTTTATCTAGCTAACAACAAGTATATTTTATATCTTTATAACAGCAAAAAATTATTATGTGTTTAGCTCAAGTGTGCAATATATTTTACATC